TACTATCACGAATATTTGAAAGTTGCGATAGAATAATTTCACTGAAATAAACATTTCCCTTCAGTATACAGGCTAGACAGCAAAGTTCTTGTTTGTTTGTAGTTATGCACAAAGCTACACAATGGGCTATCTGTGCTCTGCCCACCACAGATATCGAAACCCGGTTTCTAGCATTGTAAGTCTGCAGGCATATCGATGCGCCACTGGGGGCAAGTTCTTGTCATGATCAGTTAGAGACTGCACTTTTACGCTTGTTTGTTTGTTTTGAATTTCGCACAAAGCTACACGAGGGCTATCTGCGCTAGCCATCCCTAATTTAGCAGTGTAAGACTAGAGGGAAGGCAGCTAGTCATCACCACCCACCGCCAACTCTTGGGCTACTCCTTTATCAACGAATAGTGGGATTGACCGTCACATTATAACGCTCCCACGGCTGAAAGGGGCGAGCATGTTTGGTGCGACGGGGATTCGAACCCGCGACCCTCAGATTACGAGGCGAGCGTCCTATCCACCTGGCCATACCAGGCCCACTTTTATAAAGTGTGTCAATAAAAACAATACATTAATTAATGCAGCTGAGATAGTGTGTCGAAAAAAAAATCAAATTAACCATGCTGACTGTTCTTTGTTAACTATTATCACTGCCTTGTAGGATTGAACTGAGTTTCTCAACTCGAACAACACCCTACGTACTCTTGAGATAAGCGTCCACATCGGAGACCTCTAGGATTCAAGTATAAGCCGTTCCTAATTTTGAATAACTGACTAGAGGGAATACAGTCAGCCAGAAGCACCTGTCGTTACAAGGCTTTTGTTTGGATCTTTGAACTCGAATAACGAGATTGACTATCACTTTTATAACGCGTCTATAGTTGAAAGTGTGGAGTATATTGTGTTGCTTTTTAGAACAGAGCTATCTGCACTCTGTCCATCGCGGGGAATCGAACCCTAAATTTTAGCGTTGTAAGTACGTAAACTTACCAGTAACAAACCAGGGGGACGCAGAGCGTACTGTTTTAGCAGCATCACGCCTTGAACTCTAGGCCTTCAATCTGAAACCCAACACAATAATCACAAGGCTACGACCGGTTCCAATGCTTTTTAAACAAAGTTTTCGTTATTTTTATTCTCATCATTGTGACATACATAAATGTTATATGTTACGTTGGCCTGATGTTTTCAAGTACCGATTTTACACTTAGAATAATACCGTGGTGTTACTATATTGTATTGTCATTAAACAATTCACGCTATGGGCTCGTTGCACATTTATTCGTTATCTTAGTAGATATTGTGGTAGTGTGAAATATGAATATAACAATAGTGCGAAAGGAGAAGTCAGTTATGGATATTTTAAAACGTTCGATTAATTGAGCAAAATTGTATTTCCACACTAGCTCCACAATATATATATATTGTAAGCTATCCAACTTATGAATGATTTGAAAGCTTGCGATAAGTAACTAGATGCAGTTAACTTAGCAATATTGACGTAAATTATTGTTCAAGTACTCTAGTAATTTTAAAGAACAGGTTAGAAGTTGTTTTGTGACATGTGTATTGTCACATGCACTTCAATGTAATATTAAATATTTTGAAATTTTTAACTTTTCTTTATAACTAAAGGCGTCGTGTTGGCTGGAAGATGCAAGTTTGTTTGTTTGTAATTAAACACA